AGTCTTTGGACCAGAGTCTTTGTAAAAGAAGCTGATTTGTCAGTCACTTCATTTGGATGGGATTAAATTGATCTCAGATATCAATTCAATTCAAATATACTTTATTAAACCTGGGACTGTTGTAATTTATTACTATCAGGAAGTTCATAGTAGCTTCATCTGGTCTGCTCCTATTTGACTGTGACTCCATCCTGGAGAGAAATATCAGCTGTGCTGCTGCCATCAACACCTTTGTTTCTAGATGTTGGAGATCGGCCCGTTTTTTCAGTGTAGTCCTGTTTCTCTGACTGTGACTAACTGGATGTGCTCTCTTCATCCTCTGACATGGGAGCTGGCTCGGAGCTCATCTGCCTGGCTGTGTGTTTCCTGGACGGGGCCGCCTTTTACAGCTGCCTTTTGTATCTATGCTTCTTTTTCTATGTCTGCTTCTGTCTCCTTGAACCCCAGTGGGCCTCAGCAGATGGCCGCTCACACTGAGCCTGGTTCTGCTGGAGGTTTCTTCCTGTTAAAAGGGAGTTTTTCCTCTCCACTGTCGCTACAAGCATGCTTGATTTGAGGGGTTGCTGAAGAGTCAATTAGTCAATGCAATCAGCTGGTTTAACTTAGAGAACTTTAAACTAATTTGCCTAATTTGCTTTGAACTGATTTGGTTAAATAGTTGCTGTAAAGTGCCTCGAGATGTGTTGTGAATTGAAGCTGAATAAATAAACCGAATTCAATCGAAATTGGCTTCCACTGTTGATTTTTAGGTTAATAGTTGTTCATTTAAGAAAAATTACAACTTACTCCTCACATTATGATGTTTTCTTAAGTTCAGAAAATTGGTTAGAAAAGGTGAATTTAGTTGATCTGCTATTTTTGGCTGAACCAATTAATCTGTTTTCAACCTCAAGGTCTATTAAAGAAAAATGCAACACAGCATTTAGCTGAATTATTTGCGCGTGGCTCGAAGTAGCTGCACCAGTGGAGCCTTTGTCTTTGTCGAACCGATCAAGCCAGGATGTAAAACTCATCCACGGTCACGCCTATATCTCCAAGTCTAGACTTTCATAATAAGCTTTTGAGAAACAGACATCTGAAAGTGAGACATGGAAAATAATGAGATTCAATCATGTCTTTCATCAATTCAATGGATTCGACTGTTAACTGTTGTTACCTGTATAAGCATTGTAATCATAAGAATGTCAACCAAAAACCATATCTACATCTGTAGATCTATCTGACCATTGTCTCTCTAAAGCACCTTGAGGTGTTGTGTTGTGAATTGGAGCTATATAAATAAACTGAATGAATTAGGTGTGCTGTTGAGCCCTGTCTGCAGACCTAAACAACACTACATTTAACACAACTTTCTATCAAGCTTAATAACATGACACAAGAATTTGGTTATACTAATTAATAGCAATATTAGTCAAAATATTAATATCATAGATTTGTCCCTTGAAATCCAGACATTTTGATTGCAAAAACATTAGCAAGCAAGATGCTCCTTGTTCAGTTAGTCCAGGAGGGGCTGGATTTCGGTGAGAAGGCATTCTGGAGCAGCAGGGAAATCAGAGCGAGAAAGTTGGCAGGGAGAACACCACAACCAGGATGCTGCAGCTGGCCTCCTCTGCAGCTAAGGAACCACAGCAGTAGATCAGAGGAAGACAGTGGTAGATCAGAGAAGCCTGCTGGGCAAACGGAGCAGGAAGAGGCAGTGGAAACTGCCCAATGTCTGTGCTGGAGGTTTGGGAGGAGAGCAAAACAGTCGACCTAGAACTCCCAGGAGAATTCTCCACTTAATCTTTTGTAAACATTATTTTCTCTAACTTCCATTTGGGTAAAAATAACAAAGTTTTTTTCGACTGCACTTCTTCACTGTAGCCGTATCTAGTTCCTGATTGGTTTTTGACAGAAATATAAAAAAAAGCACAACGCCATCTAATTTCAGTTTGCGTACTTTGCAGGGGCAATGGTGCTCTGACTCTGTTTTATTTTTTTTTTTTTTTTTGTGGCAATAATCTTGATTGTCTTCAGGTGAGCGTTTTGTTCCACTGGTTGCACCTTCTGCCATTGTGCTTGTATGCAACACTGGTGAGCCCTTATTGGCCCGGTTCACATGCATCTACCTGCACATGCATGCAAGTATATGTTTAAGAGGAAGGACTTGGTGAGATAATATAGTCATATATTAAGGGTAGTCTAAAAGATACTTTTATTTCTTCACAAAAATATTTTTTATTAAGGTTGTTAGCTTTAATGAAATTTCGCTTGCATTTCGCTTAAAAAAATGTTATAACTAAATTTAAAGTCATATGTTTATATTACTGTTTATATAATATATATATATTTATTTATAATATATATATTTATATATAGGTTTATATTTATATTAGTGCTGTCAAACTATTAAAAATTTTAATCGCAATTAATCGCAATTTTATCAACAGTTAACTCGAGATTAATCGCATATTTGATCTTTTTATTTTATTTATTTTATTTGGCAATTTAAAAATGCAATTGTGCAATAATGTAAAAAACACATGCTTATACAACTTTTTTTTTTATTAGCATTATTTTTCAAGTACTTTTAAGAAACTAGAATAAAAATATCCTGGTTTAAATTCTAAATTTTAAATTAGGCGTTATGCTTCCATCAAAACTTTACAAAACTACATAACAGTAAACAGTACTTCAAAGTACTCCGTAAGCTTAAGTTTTTTCTGAAACATAGGACAAAAATAAAGATGTTAAAATAAAGTGCACATTCCATTATGAAATACAGACTTAATTAAAATTAAATGAATTTACTCACAAAAATAATAAATAAATCAGACAAAATTACAATAACTGGGCTTTGCAGTCATCTCAACAACATAACATTTTACATGTAGAACATTTTCAAAATGCTTTAATATTCCTTTGGTCTGAACAGGAAGTGCAGCAGCAGTGCATTCCACATGACTTAGTTCATTTCTTTGTCTTGTTGGCACTAAGCCAGTGAGACGCTCGTTTCTTCTGGACAACATAGACATAGGACTTGGGTTTTGTCAAGAGAACCTTCTGGCATAACTTAAAAAAGAAACGTATCATTCAGGATACCTTGTCTGTTGGCCATTTTTGCTCATTCAAAGCACGGGTCTGTTATGCTGCGGTCTCTCCCAAAACTTAGCGTTCCTGAAAGCGCCGAGGGTAAAACAAACAGTACAGCGAGCGCTGCGGAAAAATAAAAAACAAAAGCGCACGGTGCATTTGTTTTGATGCGCGATTAACGTGCGTTAAAAAAAATGTCGGCGTTATAGTCTAAAGCAGTTAACGCGTTAATAACGCTTTAAAACTGACAGCCCTAATTTATATATATATATATATATTAGTGCTGTCAATCGATTAAATTTTTTTAATCGCGATTAATCGCATCAATGCCTGAGTTAACTCGCGATTAATCGCATTTTAATCGCAAATTTTTTTTCTGATTAAAAATCATTTAAATACTCTCGATGACATACAAAAAATACATATAGGCTAGGTTTGTGCCAATGTTCTTTTTTTAAAATGAAAACAGGTCACAGACACTGATTTATGCCATAGAAACATATGGCAAGAAGATGGGGAGGCATGTAGCAAAAAATAACAAATATGTAGCCAAAAAAAAGGCCCTGAAAACAGGCTGATGTAAAAGACAGTCTTTACAGTTAATACAGTTTTTTGAACAAAGACAAGCATTTTACCCTACTGCTATAAAATGTAGTACAGTTAACATTAGATGTTAATTAACCAAGATAATAATGAACAATTTTCAATCAATACATCAAAATCAATAGACCGACATCACTAGATGGAGGTAGTCTACGCTCTAGAAAGTTACTTTTCAGCCTCTTAACAAAAATGAGAACACACACACACACACACAGACACACCCACCCACCCACACACACACACACACACAGACCCACACGATACCGACCTGTGGCGTACACAGACAGCAAGAGTGTCGTAGCAGATTCCATTTCACCTCAGTAATCTGTTTTCTCAGCGTATTTCAGGTTGCTACTAGTTACCAGACACTCAACTTGTTTGTTGGTGGTGGCGGGGCTTAAAGAAAAGGCACTAGCGTCACCCAGTATTTGAGCGTCTTTTTTCCTTGAGGAGCTCCGCTCTTGAAGCCTATGAGAAATGCATAGACTGGGGGAAAATAGCCCCGCCTTCTCGCAGGCTGCAGCGGGATGTACTTGGAAAATTGTACCATAAAACCACATAGCGTTAATCTCACGTTAAAAAATTATCGCCGTTAAAATGGCCTCGCGTTAACGCGATAATAACGCGATAATTTTGACAGCACTAATATATATATATATATATATTTTTTTTTTTACTATTTTTCAAGGCTACACATTTAAAAAGATGAAATTGTGCAGAGAGCTGTTCCAAACAAAATGTTTTTTTTTTTTACACTCATGTAAACAAAATGACAAAAGTCTTATTGGTCATTTTCTTGAAGTAGCTGTTGCTACTAATTTTCAATTTTTGTCAAATTGCAATAATCAAAGCAAACATTACACCAATTTGCTACAGAGAAATTGCAAAAATACATCCACCACGTAGATTTTCCTTTATTTCATGCATAACAGTAGTCGAATACAGTAGCCTGGTTCTGCTGGAGGTTTCTTCCTGTTCAAAGGGAGTTTTTGCTCTCCACTGTCGCTACAAGCATGCTTAGTGTGAGGGATTGCTGAAGAGTCAATGAGTCGATGCAATCAGCTGGTTTTCCTTAGATAGAAAACTTTGTATCAATTTGATTGTATGATCTGGTTGAACTGTAAAGTGCCTTGAGATGACACGTGTTGTGAATTTGGCGCTATAGAAATAAACTGAATTGAATATTTATTTCTGTTTATGATTCTATAGTAACACAATAACAGGTTTTAACTTTGAATTAAATGATTGAAAGTTTTGTATTTTAGCAAGCATATAAATGCATGAGGCTATAAAAGGATTTGTTTTTTTTTTCAGATTAATTGTTTCTCGTTCAGTGGAAAGCACACGATTATAGCAGTAGCAGGGACAAAACAAACGGGGCCTCTACTCACAAATGCAACCATGGCAAATCCCGATCGATTAAAGCTCTCTTTGAACTGAACCGACCAGAGCTGTCGGGCTGGGCAGGGCTGCTGCTCCATGTTGCTCTGTCAGGAATTTGGACAAAGAGATCATAAACCCTTTTGGATGCAAGTTCTGGTATAAAAGCAGCGGGAGGATCTGGATAAAACTGGGAAGTCCATTAGACCCAAAAGAAGTGCCAGTGTAGTCATGACCATGGGAAAGGTGTGTTCTTTACGTCTGCTTTTAATGTTTATGGCATGTTTAGATGCTGAAGAGTGACTGTCAGAGTGATAATATTTCCTTTGCCTTTTCAGATAATTTTCTACGAGGAAAGAAATTTCCAGGGTCGCTCCTATGAGACCAGCAGCGACTGTGCTGACATGTCCTCCCACCTGAGCAGGTGTCACTCCTGCAGGGTGGAGAGCGGCTGCTTCATGGTCTATGACAACACAAACTTTATGGGAAACCAGTTCTTTGTGAGGAGAGGAGAGTACTCTGACTATCAGCGGATGGGCATGAGCGACTGTATCAAGTCTTGCCGCATGATCCCCATGGTATGGACGTTTAAATAAAGAGTAACACAAAGAAAACTAGGCAAGGTTGCTCTGATGAGATGTCTTTATTTTGATTTACAGCACAGAGGCCAGTTCAGGATGAGGATCTATGAGAGGGAGGATTTTGGAGGCCAGATGTACGAGCTGATGGAGGATTGTGAATCCATCATGGATCGCTACCAAATGTCTGACTGCATGTCCTGCCATGTGATGGACGGCCACTGGCTGATGTACGAGCAGCCCCACTACAAAGGGCGCATGATGTACCTGAGGCCCGGGGAGTACAGGAGCTTCAGGGAGATGGGAATGAGCGGCATGAGGTTCATGAGCATGAGGAGGATCATGGATTCCTGCTATTAGAGCATCAATGCTAAACAGCAAGTTTTCAAATAAAATGCAAACGCTGTCTTTTAACCAGCTTCTTTTTCTAACGAATTACCCGAAACCACCTCACTGTGAGCCCTTATTTCCCCATTTTAGAATGAAATATTTGTTTAGTAATTATTATTCAGTTAATAAGACTTGAACACTTTTTTTAGTTCAGATATAGCAGACAGATTCCATTTTTTATCTGAATAAGTATTCTTCATGCAGCAGTTAGTAGCGTACCATAGGGTTTACCGAAGGGCGTAGGTTTGATTTCCACTTTGGTAGAGACGCTATTGGTCACAAGTTTCTTTTTTTACCTATGCAAAAATATGCATGATTTTTTTATGCTTGACGTAAGCATCAGGGTGCATATCTTTTAAAGAGAACAGCAGCATTTCTTGCTACATTTATCCTAATTTTATAAACAATTCACACACTAGATGTTGTTTATCAATGTTTGAAGCGTCACCGGCTCTGATTAATGTGGAATTAGGACTTTTTTCCACTTTGAAAAGGTTTGCATTTAAACTTACCAGTGACTAAGACAGAAGGTAAATATGTGCCAATTTAACCAGATATAGTCTAAATATGCTGATTTATCTTGTATTTTCTTTTGAATATATATAATTGTGCAAAGGTAAACAGGTGAAACATTTTTGAAATGCTCTCTCTGTATCATGAAACAACGCAAAATAACACATTCAAGGAACGGCAAAAAAAATTATTGTATTTACATTTAGTGGCATGATCTACAAAAAACAAAGAATGAGACTTAAGTTATTCCAATATAAAATTACTTTTAACAATTATTGAAAAACATCATCTTGTCTGTAATGTAACAATATTTAAAATAAACAGCCGATTTCAAGCATTTTTACCAAAAACTAATGTTTGTAATAATTAACTTAAGGACTGTGAGGAAATCTATGAAAAATAAAATAAATGTAAATAGTTTTCCTATGTTTATTGGCTTTAACCTATTTTTAAAAGTAGAAATAGTCCAAAAATAGCAATATTATGTGGAACCGTAATTATAGCCTGAGACCATCCTGATCTCGCGAGCTTTCAAGATTTCACTCGCTAATCAGTCTGGAGACTCTCCGTTAAAGAAAATTTGGAGCCGTTCACCAAACGAACGTCCAATCAGCGTTGGCTTTGAGGCGGGTTGAGGTGTGACGCAACGAGAAGCGCGACAGTTCAGTCTAAAGAACATGGCGGCTTCAGCCGATGAAACTAGCGTTAGCGTGGCTATCGAGCAGGTTTTATGGGAATTACAGAGTATTTCTTCACTGAAAGAAGAGCAAAACACTGCTCTGGAGGCTTTTCTCAGAGGAAAAGATGTTTTTGCTCTTCTCCCGACTGGTTTCGGCAAGAGTTTGATCTATCAATTGGCTCCTCTTCGTCGTCGCTCTGTTAGTACGTCATATGCTTGGTTGATCTGATTGGTTTATTTGGCCCGTCTATCACCAACATAGGCCAATCAGCTAACCAGTATTTTCACCCCTTCCCAAAATTACTTCAACGGAAGGTTTCCAGATGGATATGCGGAGCAAATCCATCTGGCGGAGTCAGGTTACCGTAATTATGCTTTCTAAACAAAAAATATCAGATGTTAAGGCGCCATCTCGTGTTGTTATACTCTATAAAAGAAATAATGCCTGCTATTTATAGCTGAACTGCCTCAAAGGTTCTTCATAAAATGAAAACAGTAATAACAATGAAGTATTATTAAAAGGGAAACCCTCACATTTTCTTTTTCAGTCGGCTGTGGCTAAGAATCAGCAATCAGCAGCTTTCACCTGTTTTAGTGTAGATAGAATTACGTTTTTTTCATTAGGACTAGTTTCGTAGCCTAATATTATTTGAAGTAAGTAGCATGAATAAAATTCTTATTTTGTGCTCCAAGCACACATACACGCATAACGCATACAGACTAGAAAGCAGCCAATCAGGAAGAGACAAGGCGGAGCTTGAGGCAGAACAACCAATGAGAGTGGAGCTAAACAGCACAGTTACTGACTTTAAGGGACAGAAAAGACCGGGCAGCACTCAGACGGAGCGGCAGTAGCGGCTGCTAAAGCTGCGAAGCTGCGAGAGAAAAAGAATTGGCGGTGATCCAGTGGTGTCAAAAGTTCACACATTTGTTACTTAAGTAGAAGTATAGATGCTGCAGTTTAAAAACACTGGTAAAAGTTGAAGTATCAACTTGACCTCTTTACTCAAGTAAAAGTGAAAAAGTATGTGCTCCAGAAACTACTTAAAGTATAAAAGTATAAAGTAACCTTTAAGAAAAAGGCCAGATGCCACTATATGAATTAAAAGCTAAATTTTTCCTCTATTTCAAAAAATTCTCTGAGATAGGGCCAAGGATGAGGGAGGTCTTGTTGGTCTCCGTCTACCGATACGCTCTCGCCTGTGTCCGACCTTTCAGACATTTCAACATCTTTTTCTGAATCCCACATTGTAGCATGGCATAGACAATTCACGTTAGCAGTTTGAAGAACACCTGCTTGCTTCTGATGATTTCCTTTAGCTAGCCAATGAGTGTTTGCGTTCTATGACTCATCCAATCACACTAGTTTTCACTATATGTGGGTGGAGCCAATGATCTTCATTGGATGGAGCACATGACGGGAAATACATATTTATAAACATTAAAGAAGGGTAACTAATAAAAAATCAGTGGGGTCCGAATAAAGAAAATCAACCAGTAAATGTCAGGAGACATTTTTAATGATCTGTTACTTTAAACAGAATTTAACACTCAAATAAAATGACGTATATATGCATTCATGTTACACTGAATTAAAAAAAAAAAAGATGAAAAAATAAAAATAGAAATTGCCAAATAGTGCATCCTGTTCTATCTGAGAGGAGTTGACACTTGTATGACTGTATTCCTGTATATCCATCACTAGTTAAAAGACAGGATTCAGCAAATGCAAATTCTGCCTGTAAAACAATGACAGCGCAATTGTTGCTGTACGATCTGAAGCCTCATTTGGAGATTTTAAACAGGTTTTGAAAAACTTTGATAATTTGCTGCTGTAATATTATAGATTTTTTATAATAAAAAGCTAGCAGATTTGAATAATCAAAAAATAGCAGAAACACAATTATAGAGCATTCAGTATTGTAAGAAAGCCCACACTGTTTCTGAATAAATACATTATTGTATGAGTTACGTTCCGTTTTTGTCTCTTTCCTTGTAAGTATGAAATGTCCCATTCTCCTGAATGCACCATAGCTGTCTGACGCTCGCGAATGCATCACACTGGTCTGTGTAGATGCGCGTTATATTTTCAGTTGAACACAAAGCTTTGCAGTTTTAAAACCCACGTCGGCTAATCACTGTTTATTGTTTTGTGTGAATAACAAGAGACTACAACAAATAAATAAGCTTTACCTCGGACAAAATCTTTGGATTTAATGTTGTTCATAACATCGCAGTCCGCTAATCCGTGACCTGTGCGTTAAACCGAAGCCAAGAGTAACGAGTAACGTTTGTTTTAAAAATGTAAGGAATAGAAAGTAAAGATACTGGTGTGAAAATGTAATGAGTAGAAGTCAAAAGTAGGAGGAAATATAAGTAATGGAGTAAAGTATAGATACCTAAAAAGTGTACTTAAGTATAGTAATGAAGTATTTGTACTTCGTTACTTGACACCTGTGCTGTGATCACACACAATGGCTGTGTTTTTTTATCCACCACGCTGAATTTTTAATTATACAAGTTGTTCAAATCGAATTATTGGCAGGGACAAATAGGTCGGTCCAAAATTTTGGTATGGACATGTCCCTATGGTCCCTATGCAAACCTACGCCCATTGGTTTACCGTTAGTTCTCTTTATTGTACAAATCCTTCCACTCAGCATGATTATCATTCAGCATCGGGTACATTTTCATTGCTTTGCTAATGATGCTTAGCTTTTTTGAGTTTGAAGATATATAAATCTTAAAAACGTTAATTATCTGCTATTAAATTATAGTTAAAATAATTTGACATGATTCATTTGATCTAGGTTGCATTCAATTGGTTGTAGAAATACAGTTAAGGACTCCTTAACTCCTTAGTCCTTTAGATCCAGGTTAATCAGATATCTAGACTTTTATCTTTGTTTCTGCAATACTACCAGAATCGGATATATCCTGTCCCAGAATGATGCAGAAAAATGTGTCCAAAGAATTGTTGCTTCATTCCCCACAGCATTGGCTCTCATCATTAGGCATGGCAGGAGTTGTTTATCTACATAAGTTTCTGCCGCATGATAAATCCATGGCTGACCAACATGCTGAAAACACGGTATCTAGTGTGGTAGTTTTTTGTAAGTGCATCTTTAATGGCAAGTTCAACAGGTCCAGCACACAAAATTTAACTGTAAAAAATAAATAAATATATAAATGACACACAACTAAACAAAGAAGGAAAATGCTGCTAGTAGAAGAAAACAGCTTAAGGTTAAATGTAAATCCTTTATTGTTCCACAATGGGGTAAATTCTCTCTCTGCATTTAACCCATTCTGTTGGGAGCGGTGGGCTGCCATTGTGCTGTGCCTGATGAGCAGTCTGGGGTTAAAGGTCTTGCTCAAGGACCCAGACTGGCAGTCGGGGGGGTATATGGGACTCAAACTCAGAACCTCCGGAACCCAAGCGCAATGCCACTAGGCCAATCACAAAAAAATCTGCAGCAAAATGAAAGCATTCTGAAAACACAAACCTGCAGCAAATACATGAAAAATGGTGACACACAAAACACATACAAAGGAAAAACTTCAAAACAATTAAAGATTCTGTCCAACTGAATGGTTTAAAGGCACACTATGCAACATTTTTCAGTTAATTAATGTGTTCCATAACGTTTTGGATGACTAAATGAGTCATTTCAGGTTGAACAAAGGTATTCTCGGCCGCCCTGGTGGTCTGTGGGGGAAATACTGCACTTGCAATTGCAGGAGCACCGACCCGCACCCACAGGCTCAGAAGTCTCGTGAGAGTCAGTCTTGCTTTACGGCCGAGAACTGCTACACGGCCCCACTTAAAAGC